GGCATCGCTACACATTCTTCACATACACACACAGTCCTTGTACACAGCCATCCGTCCATCCATCCATCCATTCATCCATCCATCCATCTCCTTGAGACCAGAGTCCACCACCTCAGATCCAACCTTCCGTCTGCAGCCCTGCCCAGCTGGCTGGCAGCACAGGAGATTTACCTCCATTATTAACCCAATTGGTTGATTATTGGAAGCCCAAGTTGATGAGGGGGTGCATCCTCCCCAAAGACTCAACTGGCCTCTGATTTCAGGGAGGTAGCTGGGGAAGGAGCTGGAAGCAGCCACAGTGTGAGCTCCTGACAGTGCTCCTCTCCCCTCCACAGTGAGGGTATTCTCACACCCTCAACTAGGTTTTAACTCCTTTTTGGAGCCCCATTCCCAAACCCTTTGAGCCCCATCTGGAAGATAGTGTTATGGCAGCTTCTGAGGCTCTGAGCATCCCACAGACTCCAGTGGGGCCAGGAAGTGCCCTGGGGACAGCAATTGGAGTGGGTGACTGGCACCACCAGGACTGCTCAGTACTGTGGGCTGGGTAAGAGGCAGCCTTGGAGGGAGCTCAGCCCTCAAATCCTGCCTCAAGTACCCGTGGGCCCATGTAATTCCAAGACTGTGACACTGGTACAGGTATGCAGATGCCTAAACACACTGGGACACTCCATGTGTGCCTGCACATGCACATGGGTATGTTCAGACTCATGTGGGCACACACACACACGGTACCATACACACACCTACAGTCATATGGATCCATGCACACCTACATGCTCATACAGATCCATAAACACATTCCAGCACTTCCATGGGTTCACACACACTCTGCACACTCCTGTGGATCCATACAGACACACAGGGCCTCCCAAGAATCACTACACACAGGGGCACTCATGTGGGTCCACTTACACACACGTACCCCCATACTTACGTGTGCATTTATGCAGGTGCACACACTCAGGTTGGTCTGTGGGCACACACACCTCTAGAACACCTCTGTTTGCCCTTCCAGCCACACCACAGCAGCCCCCCTGTCCTGTCTTGTGCCCTCCACTGCTGCTGGGTTGCTAGAGCTGTTGAAGCTCCAGGGACTGGCACACTGACCCTTACTGCTAATGCCACCTCCCCACTGCAGGTGGTCCCAGATTAGGGGCACAGCTCTGCTCACAGGTTCACTGGAGAAAAGTCTCCAGGCAGACATGGACAGGAGCAAAGACACTGCATCCATCTGTCCCTCCCTGCCTCTGCAGTGTAACCAGACACCCTCTAAATGAGCCCTAGGAGCCCTTGGTCCTGCCCTTAGGTTGAAGATGCACTGACGGTGAGGATGGGACTGTGGCATGGAGACCACTACCCTCTCCTCAGAGTCCTCCTCCTAAGCCACGTCCATTCCCTGAACATTTCTGACTCTATTTCCTCCATCCCCAGGGACAACACCACAGGAGAAAGCAATAGGGACAGATGTAGGAAGGTGTACACCACTCATTTTGGGATGACCCTCTGTGGCACTAGGAGGTCCTTGTCTACAGGGGAACAAACACCTTCAGGCTCTAAGATGTGAGTGCACAAATTCACAGTTGGCAAGCCCTCCCTAAATGTATGTTAAAGACAGATGGGTGGGTGTAAGAGGCAACTCCTGGCATCAGGGACAGGCAAGGCAGGAGGAACAGCCACTCCAGGGTTAGGCTGAGGATAATGGTAAACACCTGCTGGCAAAACGAACCATCCCCAAATTAACCACTGAGGCTACCAGACACCCTGGAGTTCCTAATGGGCTGGCTGGGAGTCACCACCTGCAGCTGCTCCTGGGAAGGGAGGAAGAAGCTTCAGAGGATCCTGATCCCCCCAGTCACAGATGGCTGTGCACATGCCAGAGGGGCCTTGGCAGAGAGGGCATTCTCCTGCCAGCAAACACTCTGGTAACAGAGAGCTGGATGCAAAGCCCAGATGTTTGAGTCCCTCCCACCCCAGGGAATGGAGAAGAAAGCCCCGGGTTCTGCTGCTTTTCTTCTATCACTTGGAGGAAACCAGCACACCTATCCCTGTCTATATGTATTGTTTCCCTAGGGGAAAAGCTGAATTCATGGAGCTGAGCTTGGCACCAGAAATGCCAGGCTCTTACCTGTGCCCTCCAAGTTAAACATAATGTAGCACCAAAGAATTAAAACCTGGAGGCATCCCAGCCCTTAAGGAAGCTGGGGTTCATGGCTAATGCATAATCACACCCCACTTGGTGCTCCCCATCTCAGGGCTGGGTCTGCCTGACAGCCCTGGGTGTGGAGACCTCCCAGACCTTTGCCCAAGTCTCTACACATGTGTCCTTATCAATGTACACAAACCAGTGCTAGGGGCTGATGCAAGCTGCAGGGGTGAAGGGGTCGCTGAGCCTTGTAACATTACAGCAGCCCTCCCAGTCAGAGCAAAGGTCTCACCAGCCTCCACTCCCCAAACCAGCACCTCAGGAAGCATATAAAGCTACAGCATATAAGTGAGGTATTTCCCCAGAAATCTCCTCTGTGCAAAGCAGCATTTGGTCGTTAACCCTGTGGATTTAGCCACAACCACCTTGTCCTCTGCTCCCATTTTTAGCAGTACTGTGCTGTGTGGAAACCCTTCTCTGGCTGGTCCTGCACCAACCTCCCACCCCATTTCCATCAAGGCATCCTCCCCACTGGAGAGAGATGGGGAAGTCTCTCTCTGCCCACTTTCTGCCTATCAGCCTGGATTTGGTGGTTTCTATTCACTTAGCTGTGCCCTCAGTCCAGGAGGATGAGAGCACCGAGCATGAACCCCACCCTGGGTGATGGTATAATGGCTTAGGCAGTTTCAAGCAGGGATTCCTGGTGGAAAATACAGTTCTGGCTACTACAGGGTCTCTTTCCAGGAGAGCTCCAGGACCCTCACAACCACACTGCCACTGCCCCAGCAGATTTCCAGCAGACACATGCTGGCCCCGCACCTCCCCCACAGCATCACAGCCCAGCCCCTGGGAAACCTCCAAACGCTAAAGCACAGCCACCCTCCCCACTTAGTCCCTGCAGAGAGTGGAGAACCTGTTCCCCAGGCTGGGTGAGCCACAGCCCTGCAGCCTGGGGAGGACTCAGCAGGGACATGACCCTCCCAGGCAGGGGTATGTTCCCCTCCTGCATGATCTCAGGAGAGGGACAGGAGTGACAGTCACCCTGTAGATCCCAAAGCAAGCTGGCACCGCAGCCTATTCCAAACTGCAGAAGGACATCCCGTTGTTCCCTAGGCTGGCTGGGACACACCACAAGGTGGGAAACACAGGTGTGGGTCTCTGGATGAGGGGTCCATCACTTTTCCAATCAGGGTTGAAAAAACCCAAAAAGAGTAAATACGGAACAAACCAGCTCTCATCCTGAGAAGTTGTGGCAGGATTTATCCTGCACCCCAACCTCTCCTGTAATCCCTCTCCCACCATTCACAACATTCCTGCACTGCACAAGGAGTGCGGGCAGCCCTAGACAGGGACAGGGTGGGAGGCTGAAGGACTAGAAATGCCGGGGATGCTTTCCTAGCCTCCCTGGGAGGGAGGAGCTGCTTTCCACCTCCTGGCTGACCCTGGGAACCGGACAGTCAGCCTTTTTCTGTGCAGTGGGGTGAAATGTAACACTTCCCGGACAAGCTGTTTGGCCTGTGCAGTTCACCCACCTCGGCCCTCCCCGGTCTGCTTCAAGGCAGTGTCAGCACTGGTGGCATCTCAGCCAGGGGTCATGTGCTGCCCGTGCCCTGTCTGCACCTCTACCTGCCACCTTGTAGGCAGGGGATGAGCTCTAGCCCCCCAAAATAACAACATGTTGAGCAACTTGAAACAGAAAAGGCAGCAGTACGCCCCTACAGCAGCCAAAAGTTGGGTCCCTGCTGTTGTTCCCTTCCTCTCCTGCCAGAACTGGATGAGACCAAAGTGCCCTCATCCCCCGTCACTGAGCAGTGCCATCCTAAAAAGCCACACAACAGCTGCATGGGGACATCTCTGTCTGTTCTATCCCCTCACCAGATCTTCCCTGTTGCCCACTGTGCCTCTCTCTCCCCCACAAGGAAGCTGAGCGCATGGGGAACAAAAACCTGCCCTCTCCATGCCCACACCCTTGCATGCAGAGGTACCCACTGTGTGCAAACCAGAGCTTGCACAACACAGCTCAGATGAGATCCACATGCATTAAATACAGGGACACTTTTCTTCCATCCTTTACATGAGCTCCTGAAGCCCTTTCCTCATGTCCTCAGCTGCAAAAAGGTCTCCCCTACACCCACCAGGAATGAGGGGACAGGGTGCATGTGCTACTTCTTCCAGTACAAAGAAATCAGTGAGCTGTGTTGACCAATTCTAATACAACCTGGCCCCTGCAGAGACACAAGAACTCAGCTCCATGGCTTGCCAGCTCCTTGGGGTGACCAACACCAGAGCCCTTGCTGTTTTTCATCTCTGCAAAACCTCCGCAGACAGGGGTCAGCCTGTTTTACCCATTATGGAAAGCACCAGGATGGAGCACAGATCAGGGTGGCACAGGGAGATGTCTGGGCACTGGACGTCCTATCATGATGCAGGGCCTGTGGACAGGCACAGGGGACACGGAGGAGGTGGGGTCATGAAGCAGGGTTGAAATGGGGCTTGGTAGCAGGGAGACGGGAAGCATGGAGGATAATGGCGATGTGCAGTGAAGATCATGCAGGGGGTACCCATTTAGGGGAGGATGAGGTCTGGGGGCACTGGGTGAGTACTGTTGGGGTTTCATCTACTGTGGGATTGCAGTAATGTCTGGGGTTAATGGGGATATGGGGGATATCTACTTGGGCTGGGTCTGGGCTGGGGCATGGTGTTGCCCATTTAGGGTGGGACGCAGACAGGTTTGCGAGCAGTGGGGGGCAAACGAGTTGTCCATTCAGGGAAAGCTGAAGCCGAATGTGGGGACCATGGGGGACACCGGGGATGCCTGCCGGGAGCAGCTGATGGCGGGGCAGCGATGCCTCCTTACCTGCTTGAACTGCTCCTCATAGGTCCACTCGTGGTGCTGTGGTGGCGGTGGGTCACGGGGCTCCCCTTCTTCCTCCTCTTCCTCTTCCTCCTCCTCGTCCTCCTCCTCGTCCCCCGCCGCGGCGAGCGGCGGGCGCGGGCCAGAGGCCGGGCGGCGGCGGGGAGCGGGGGGCGGCGGCCCGGGGCCGGGCTCCAGCGGGAGCCGTCGGGGAGCGCCGTCGGGGCCGCGGGCCAGGCGGGCCGCCTGCTGCCGCTGCAGGCTCTCCATCACCGCCGCCAAGCGCAGCCCCCCCGCCGCCCCCGGCCCCCGCGGCGGGGCGGCCGGCTGCGGGCACAGGGCCTGAGCGCTGCCGCCGGAGCCGGAGGAGGAGGGACGGGAGGAAGCATCCCCCACCCCACCCGCTCTCCCCGCCGCTCCCGGGGGCCTTGCCCAAAAGTTGCCCGCGGAACCGTCGTCGTGCCGGGCGCGGCTCTCGCCGCCGGAGGTGCTTCGTCTCCCTCCGGGACCACCCAGCACCCTGCCCCGGGGGGGACCCGGCCCTCCTGTACCACATCCCGGCTCCTCCGGAGGACGCCGTCCCCGCTCCTACCGGACACGGGTCCGACCCGAGGAGCCTCCTTCCTCCATCCCGCTGGGGAACCCTGTCTCGGTGGGACTCCCGCCCCGCGTTCCCCATGGGAACCGCGTACTACCGAGGACCCCTTTCCTCCCCGGTCCCGACGGAGGCATCCTCCCCGACGGGGAACCCTCTCCTACCGAGCCCTCCACCTCCCCGTCCCTGCCGGGAACCGTGTCCCGATCCCGCCGGAAGGTCTCACCGGGCGCCCTGTCTTCTCGGGACGCCCCTCCCACCGGGAGCCCCGATCCCGCTCCCTGGCCAACGCGGGTGTCCCTACCCCGCTCCCGCCATGCACCCCCGCGTCGCCGGGGCCCCTCCGGCCGCTCCGTCCCTCACCAGGGCGGGTTTGGCCGCCAGGCTGGGGTTTTCCACCATGCCGCCGGCTCCGAGCGCCTCCCGGGGCTCGCCCCGCCGTCCCGGGGGGCACGGCCGGCTGCTCCGCCCGGTCCCGGCCCCGGCCCGCCGCTCACATGGCGCCGCGCCCGCCGATATTTCTTTTATTCCGCAGCAGATGAGGGTGGGTGGGATTTTGCCCTCTTTTCTTTCTTTCTCTCTTTCTTCCTTTTTTTTTTTTTTTTTTTTTTTTTTTTTTTTTTTCTTTTTTTTTTTTTTTTTTTTTCTTTCTCTCTTTCACTCTCTCTTTCTCTCTTTTTTTTTGCAACAAGTGGCAGTCAGATAGCAACACCCCTCCCAGCTCCCATTTGCTAGCGCACGTCTAGGGTGTCACCCGGGGAGGGCTGGGCTTACGGCAGCCCCGGGGGATCGCCGCGCACCGGCCCGCCGAGAGCCAGCCCGCCGGTAGCCGGCCCGGAGCCGCTCTGCGCGGGGCCGCAGCAGGGACCGGGACCCAGGGCGCAGCGGGCTGGGAGACCCCCAGGCTGTGTCCATGTGTGGGTATAGACAGGAGGAGTGCATGGGATTGTGTACACATACGCAGGCTGTGTCCGCATAGATGTGTGAGAAGAGAGGGGGTGTGTGATGGTTCTGTGCACACGTGTGTAAGAAGGTGCTGCACCCATCACACACCTTTTAGAGGGCCTGTCTGTGTGTGTGTAGTTACCTGTGTGTGCTGGGAGAAGGTGAATGTGTGTGTGTTCGTTGCCTGAATCTGTACAGTGGGATGGATGGGCCTCCCCCACACGTGTACGTACAGTGGGAGAAGTGAGTGCATTAAACGTGTGGGAGCCCCCACACCAACGGGAGTGTGCCCGGTGTTTAAGGGTTCTGTATGCCCTGGTGGTGCATGTGGGGCACTTGGGTCTATTACCTGGAGCAGTAACCATGCATGCATGTATGCCCAGCCGTGTGCACTGTCAGAGGGCTGAGCACCTGCAGTGTGCGCACGCACATGTGTGTTTGCTCTTGGGGACAATAATAAATGCTGTATATATGTCTGTGGGGAACTTGGGGGTGTGTGTTTCTTGTGTTCACCTGTTAGTGTATGCAACCTCTGTTGGGAGGGGTAGGAGAGGCAGGCCTGTGCACACGTGCTTTTTTGGGGGAGGTGGGTGCATATGCTTATGCTACCAATCCATGTGCAGGCACAAAGGGGTGTTTGGGGCAAGTTCCAAGTGCTGAACCCTGAACTCCATCCTCAAGGGCTGGGGTATCACAGCAGCGTGACCCTCAGCCTGAGACTTCGAAGGGATCCCTGTGACAGGTGCTGTGGGTGCCTGGCCCCTGGCTGAAGTGGTCAAATTGTAATGTGGCCTGGATGTCCAAAGAGGCTTCCTGGCACAGATGGAACAAAGCCATATGTCTCTGTCACTGGAGTGGCTCAATGCTCCTGGCTTGCCCTGTGTCCCTGCTTGCAGTGGGGTAAACTGTGGCACCAGGGTATCATCGAGTGTGTCTCCAGATGTCAGACGAGGATGTAAAATGAGGCGAGAGCACAGCACCTCTCTGCCTTGCAGACTGTTTGTTTCCTTCCTCTCCCTCCATCTGCCTGTCTGCCAGATTTTCCCGACTTCTTTCTTTATGAGGGAAACTTTGCCAGGAGGCGAAGGAGGCACCCGCTCTTCCTTGGGCTTTTTTTGGCCAGGGCAGCTGCAAGATTTACATGGATGCCTGGGGAACAGCATTACCCCACAACACTGGGACAGAAAGGGGAGTGGCTTTGATCCCATCCCACAGCCAGAACAATTTGTCACTGAGACTTCCTACTGCTGCACTGGGTTTTGGTGGCATGGGATGACAGGAAGTTGGGTGGTAAGGCCTGGTAGCTCTGTCCCCTCCATGGCCACCTGTGTGGAGGTACCCCTGGCTGCAGAGGCCAGGGGCAGCCAGCATGTGCCCAGTCCTTCCTGTTCCTCAAAGCATTTTTAGGAAAAACAGCCACTGCCCATGCTGTTGACAGGAGCTGACTTTGTTCTCAAGCTCCATGGCCTAGAGCTCTGTCCCTTTCACCACTTCCCTCAGCAGGGAAAAGCTGCTGTTTCTGTGCTCTCCATTTTCCCTATGAACATCTGAGAACCTACCCTCTGTCCTGCCATGGCTGTTACTATATGACACGTGAAAGCACGATGTGAGCTGCTGCTACTGTAAAGGTAAAAAAGAGGAAGTTTTATTTTTGATTCCAACATTGATACTTTTCCAAATGTGACAGTAGATTGGAGGGTGAATGTGTTACTTCTCTAACGACACTGGACAAACTACTAGTATATCAAATTTCCACCTCTGTGAAGGAATGTAAAACAATAGGTTGTTTACAGAAAGTTGTGTGAGAAAATTCTCTACAAGAATGTAAACTCAGAAGGTTTTAGAAAATCTTAAGAATCAGGGCAACACATGGCTCTGGTGATTCTCAGGGCTTCTTAAGCTCCTGGCACTTCAGCAGCATTTGACATAGTGCACCATGCTTACCAGGGAGGTGCTCCTGGAAAAATAAGACCATTCCCTGGAAGCGCAGGGCAGCTTCTGACCCTGCAGGGCCCCCAGGCACTGTTTATCTTTGCACAGGAGATAAATTAGCTGTCCGCCATCCTATTTCAGGGCTGGACAGCTGTAGCTTGTGCTGGCCCATCCCATCCCACTGCAGCAGAAGCAGGGACCTCCTGGTGCTTGCTAGCCCCTCTGAGTGCTAGTTAGTGTGGCACTCTTGTTTAATTGCCACTGAGAAGACGAGATCTAGCCTTATTTCAGAAGGATCCACAGGGCCAGATGACCCCCAGGATTCACTGCACAGGATCCCATGTCGCATGGTTCCAGCTTCCCCTCCCAGTTCTGCACCCTCTGCTCTGGGCTGTGTCTTATCCCCTACACACTGAAAGCTGGACTGGGTGGGGTGAGACAGACATGGTGACTTCTCCATGGCCCAACAGGAGTCCAAGTGTCTGGGGAAACTCCCCTTCTGCAAGACAGAGGGGTTGGGGGTGCTTGGGTCAGTTTAGCACGCAGGCCAGCTAGTGGCAACAACAAGATCTCCAGAGGGTGCAGCATCTCCCATTGCCTTGGGCATGGCCACCAAGGGACCTGTCCTACTCATTTCCTCTCTAGAACCTCCACAGTGATAACAGCAACTCTGGGGTTCTGCACGTGTGTCAGGCTCTCCTTGGGGCAAGCAAGATGGACTGTGTCCCCTTTGCCCTGCTGCTCAACATTTTGCACCAATGGGGTCTGGTGATGCTCCCAGCTGGAGAGAAATTCCCCAAATGGCTATTGATGGCTGCAGCTGAGGTGGCACAGATAGATAGTGAAGGTATAGATGGGCACGGCAGACAGCGGAGCAGAGTGAGAGATACTTGGAGCAGAGAGATACTGCAGGAGGAATCGAGAGATAGATCCTGCAGGCTGATCAATACCCACTGCATGTGGAGGGACAGCAAGATAAACCAAGTTGCAGGGGGAAGGTGTTAGGAGGGCAGCGATCTGCATTTGTCCTGGTGACAGCTCTGGGGAGATGCCACTCATGGTTGCTTCAGCCGGGACTGGGGTAGAGCCAGACCCGGGGTGCAGGTGCCCTTAGCTGATTCTCCTTGCCTGTCTCCAGGCTCTCCATAAGGGCTTGGTGCCCTTCGAGGTGTCCTGGGGTCCCATCTGGTCTCTGGACACCAAAGGGTGCACATTTCCAATGTGTGTTGGTCATATCTTCTGTCTCTCCAAGGAGTACCTGCTGCCTGTGGGCATTTTGAAGGATACTGCATCCCTGGGCAGCCAAAGGGGAAAGAGGCAAGCCCTGGCCCTGGCACAGAGGCTGTGTTGCAGCTGAGTGATTGCAGATGAGCTTCCAATTTGTTCTTCAGTTTCTTCATGAGAACCAAATGATGGCAAAGCTACAGGCAACTGGGTCAGGCCAGCATGGACTTGGGAACAGATGAGGAGTCACAGGAAGAGGCAGAGGCACCAACAACCTGCAGAACTTGCTGTGTCCAGAACTCATTTCTTCTCTGCTGGTCATTGGAGACACCTGATTAAGAGGTTGCAACCATGAAAGGGATGCTTTTTGTGACCCTTTAATGAATGCCTGACACTCAGTGCTCAGTGCTGGGATGGGGACAACCCCTCCTGCTGTAGTAGAGCAGCCAGGGTTCCTGGGTTTAAGCCCAGTTCCACCCTGCTGGCATTTGCCTGAGCCACCCCATGCTATGGGGTGCTTGTCATGGTTTCTTTGCTGCTTGTCATGTTTTTTTTCTTCATGCCAGCTGCACTG